GCCTCTCTCTCTCACACACAGCATTCCACAGTAACAGCTTGCATGCCCACTGTCAGAAATGGAGCTTTGAAAGGGCATTTCCGCATTCCTACAGGAGTTCAAAACAATGAAGAGTGGCCACTTGACTTAAGGGGATTATGGGACATTTCTGGAGGCCAATCAGAGCGCAGTAATGCAACACCTTGTTCACACTGATGCCCGGGTGTTGTAGCCAAGGCGCAGCAAACGTTATTCCTCTCGCCATGGTGGAGTACAGCAGCACTGTAGTCAGAGCGCTCTACGTGCCTTGCCAGTGTGGACGGATAGTGAGCTAGTGTGCCCGGGGCTCCTTTATTGCACTGTAACTCGCAAGTGTAGCCAAGCCCTTGCTCTGTCCTTCCCTTTCTGGGCACAGCCTTTTGAAAGTTTCACCTACTGAGTTTAATTCCAGAGTCGTGTGAGATGGCCACGTGTGCTTTGCAATAGTATTTACTATAGTGTTCACCTTCTTAAGTGCTACTAATAAATAATGGATAGCTCTCTCTGGCTACCTGCATTATTTTTAAATAAGTGGCTAAGCATATGAGTATACCAAACTACCATGTTATTTATTATATTCTAATGGACTCACTGCTTAAATGAGTTGGAAGCAGGAAATTAGAGTAATTGACTGATATTTCCAAGCATAGCATCATTGCAGATGCTTGGCTGGAGCTATGGACTGAGGTAACTAAGTCTGATATATTGTGGGAAATACCTAATGAGCCCTCAGAACTTGTAAGGGCAGCCTCTTATAATTGCCATACTCTGGGTCTCAAATACATTTGGGCCAATTGTACAGTGCATTAGGACCGTATCTCATTGCCAGCAAAGGAAACACTGCCACAAGGTGAGTATTGCATATGGCCCTTAGTTTCTAATACATCTTCTTTTAGCCCTTAGCTGTCTCAGGGATTTCATAAATCTACTTTGAGGGAATAAAGAAGGTGCTAGAGAGATTTCTGGATATGGTTCCCTGTTCCTTGCTGCTTTATATGCATTACATAAGCCTCCCAAATGAAAATAAAGGTATTTCAACAATATAGGCACAATCTTCCCTGGCACGGACTGCACTGTCTGTACCTCCCCTGTTCGGGGACTACCAGGTCAGCCCCTGACGTATAATAGGCTAGCTCTGAGGGTTGCCCTAACTTGCATCCCTGCTTCCATGGCTCCTTTGTGCCACATCACCCACCCCAGCCCCACCACCTCCTGCTCCCTTCCTCCTCTAGCCCACCCCTACCCCAGATTGTCACAAGCATCTGTGGAGGCACTTCAAAGCTGGCAGAACCAGCTTTGTGCATGGCGTACAGGCTCCCTGGGTTGGGGGTATTCCCCAGCAAGTCTTAGGCCTACCAACCTAGCTAGCACAAGTAGGCTGTCGGGCACAATGTTTCAAGGAAGAGCATAGTTATTCATTTTGTGTCCTCTTGAAGCTATTCTTGCACCACAATGTTGGATTCAGAACCCAAGTTCCTAAGATTTTGGGGTATTTGGATCCCCTTTTTTGGGGGGGAAGGGGTATAGGCTCATCTCTAAATAGAACAAACAAATTTGGGGAAAATTTGGTGGGAAAGAATATCAACTATAAAACTGGGCTTCAAATATCAAACACAGAGTCTCCAAGTGATTCACATGACATAAGCCAGACCTGACTGTGAATTGGAAACACACTGGAGTCACTCTCAAGAAACTGCTAAGGCGACTAAGGCTGGGTCTACACTACCCGCCTGAATCGGCGGGTAGAAATCGACCTCTCGGGGATCGATTTATCGCGTCCCATCGGGACGCAACAATCGATCCCCGAATCGACGCTCTTACTCCACCAGCGGAGGTGGGAGTAAGCGCCGTCGACAGGAAGCCGCAGAGGTCGATTTTGCTGCCGTCCCTACAGTGGGGTAAGTCGGCTGCGATACGTCGAATTCAGTTACGCTATTCACGTAGCTGAATTTGCGTATCTTAAATCGACCCCCCCACCCCCCGTAGTGTAGATGTAGCCTAAGTAGCTATGGGGTGAATAGTAAAATTCTGTTATGCATTAGAAAGAGGCTGAGGCTGAGATCACAGAGTGGATAGATGGTCTATTTTTAGTATGACAAAAAGCTAACACTGGGGGTGTGTTTTGTGTTAAAATGGGTGTTGTCTAATACATTTATTAATGATTTTGAAAAGAGGATGAGCAGCAATGTGGCAACATTTGCAAAGGACAAAATTATTTAGGATGAAC